GAGTAAGACAACATGCATGAAGAGGATGATGTGGACAAAATACTCATTTGCCTAATAATTCTGCACTCCCTGTATGTGTTTTAATAAAATAATTTGTGTTGACCCACTATGGACTTTTAGTCGTATGTCTCTTCTCAAATTCGAACCACGACAAGATCTAATACCTCCTCACTGCACTGCACAGCATACACTACATTGTTTAGTTTGTGTTTGGGAGTTTCATCCTTGGGATGAACCAGTTTTTGTTTGAGTGTATGACTGGGTCTGAAGTGTACTGGGATGTGGTCCTTGGAGAAGACTCTCCTGAGCAGATAAACCTGCTACATTTTACATTTTTTGCCAATTTGATGAAAGCCCAAGTAGGATAACTACATTTTTTAAGTCCGTGAAGGTTCTCAGTCACCCAGATCAGTTTTTTCCAAGCTCCTTAGACCACGTGTTTTAAGAGCTTTCTTTACGTGTGTGTCCCTTTCTTTTCCTTTTTGCCTTAGAGGGAACTTTTTCTTCACAGTGTTGCAGGGTCCTGATCACCCCAAGATTGTACAAAGTGTAGGTACTGATCTGGGCTTCTGGTAAACTTTAATGTTTAGTTTGCCATTTTCCTCAGTGTGCACAACATACCAGTGCAGAAATACATCTACTCTTTGACTTGTACCATACTGTGAATCAGTTATTTTTCATTCAATACAGTGATGTACTGACAGATCCAGGATCAGTCCAAATCAACAGCAGTTTGATCCACGTATGGATTGAAGTGTATTTGGGAAAATGTTAGACTGTACATTTAGCAGTGTCTAACAGTATGTGTATGAGAGCCATGTAATGTCCATGTGTGCATGCTGAAAGAGACTGTGCTGGTCTGACCCCCTACTCTTTTCAGGGTGGAGCCTGCTGGAGTCCGATGGTTGAGACCAGGTCTGAGGAAGTGTAAGTGCGTTTTTAATGTGAATCATGAAATCAAAGCAGCACACATTAAACCATCTTCAAACTGTCACATCATTCATTCACATCTCTGATGTCAGGAGTCGTCATCAAAGTGTCAGTCAATAAACAGATGGATCAATAACTGCAGCTGATTCAATAAAATGACTAGATGTTACAATCCCTGATAATACATTGCTTCAAATGGAGAAAGTCTTGAGGGATGGCTGCCTTGAGGAAAGGCAGCCCGGAAACTTTACCAGCAGAACACACCGTTGTGTGCCTCAACTTCCAGGGTGTTTCCATCTTTCATCAAAGGCTATTTTTTATTAGTTGTTTTTTTTTTACCTTCCTTGGTTAGGTTTAGAAATTAGAGATCTGATGTAACCCTGTCAGCATCGATCAGGCCTCGGAGTGTGTCACTGGTTTATGTTAAATTGTTATTTCTCTTCTACTTTCTTTTGTTTAGTTGTATTCCAATTTATTTCCTCCTTTCAGTTCACTACAAGACGAAATGAAATACTTACCTCTTTATTACTTAAAGAACCTTAGTTCTTTAAAGGGATAGAAAAGATGATAGAAGTAAGACAAAAGACACAAAATAGGAGATGGGAGGGCTGGAAGGGGAGCACCCGATCTGGCATCCCACCTCTCCCCACCGGATCAGGCTGTACGCTCTACCTCCCCACTGCATCCCAGAAAAGGGAAAAAGAGCAAAGGGGAGAAGAGTCCAGTGCAGATTTTAAAGCCGGCAGGGCAGGGATTGCGGATACCGTGTAGGTGTGTCTGCCTTCCTCGTAGCGGCAACACAGACCACGTCATACCGAACAGCTGTATCAGTCAACCAGGGTTTACACAGTAAAATTTCTACTGTTGGGTTTTCTATCCTTTTGACACCCTCTGCTGATCAATCCTGGCTGTGTGTCTCGCGGTTAGCTGACTGCCTTAGCTGCCCAAGTGATGTGAGCCCTCTTTAGCCACAACCAGTTACTGGTCCTCTAAGCCGTGTTAGCATATTCTCGTATAGCTTGCCATTGCACCTGTCCTCTGACTCCAATCTCTCTAAGCAGTGTTTGTGTGTTTGTTCTCTCCATCAGATTCCTGTCAACTCACAATCGACAAAAACACAGTACACAGAAACCTCAAACTGTCCGACAACAACAGGAAGGTGACATATGTGAAGGAGGTTCAGTCTTATCCTCATCATCCAGACACATTTGATGTTTATCCTCAGCTGCTGTGTAGAAATGGTCTGAGTCGTCGCTGTTACTGGGAGGTCGAGTGGAGAGGAAGAGTTGAGATATCAGTGAGTTACAGACGAATCAGAAGGAAAGAACACACTAATGACTGTGTGTTTGGACGGAATGATCATTCCTGGAGTCTGAACTGCTCTGATGGATTAGGTTACTCTGTCTGGCACAATAATAGACAAACATCTATCTCCTCCTCCTCTGTCTCTAACAGAGCAGCAGTGTATGTGGACTGTCCTGCTGGCACTCTGTCCTTCTACAGAGTCTCCTCTGACACTCTGATCCACCTCCACACCTTCAACACCACATTCACTCAAACTCTTTATCCTGGATTTAATATTTGGCCTGGTTCATCAGTGTGTCTGTGCTGAGTTGAGCGTAAAGATTGTCCTCCTGTTAGAGAAACACTCTGACTGTTGAACAGATCATTCAGGTCTCTACATGTCTGTCTCTTTCACTCAGAAACACTTTTTCAGATTCATGGATTCAATCAGTTGATGTTTGAAACTGTTCTAAATGATTCCTTGTAAATTTCTTCCTCTTCAGTCCTTTAAAGATGGAAGCTCCTATTATTCTAGTATCCACATGTTGTTTTTCTGTTTTTTTCCACTCAAAATTCACAGTGAATATCAGTATGTTGTGTTTCTCTGAAGCTCAGTTCACAACCAGCTCCTCTGCATTTTCAACAAGCTCATTAAAATGAATCCAAACGTTGGATTTCTTTCTTAATGGGATGTTTCCATCATGGCTGAATACGTGGACATCCAATAGTACTCAAATATTAAAGGCATTCAGCATCTCTTATGTTTCTGTCATTATATAAAAACAGCTGGTTTTAAAAACTGATCCAATCAAAGAAACATGAACTTCCATATTGATCAGATCAATACGTACAGCTCTGATGTCACCAACATCTCATTGAACTCTATTGATGTTGATTTGTGGCCCTCTGCTGGTGAGAAGATGAACTGCATGATTTCAGTTTAAAGAACACAGAATCCTCTTTTTTTAATTGTTCAAGGTAAAAATAAAATCAGTTTATCCAACTATTTCCACTGATTGCTGTTAGCTTCTGAAACAAGAAATGATCATTAACACGGTCCTTCACTGTTAATGAACAAGTTACACACTTACGACCACTACATTACACACTAACTACACAAGACAACACCCTAACTACACGAGATTTGAGCTAAATGTCTCAAATCTCTCACGTCTCACAAAACCGCCGTCACTCCTAAAACTTCCCCCTTCCTAAACAACTTAATGCCATGTTGCCATATCATTTTTTGATTGGTCGACATGGTACATTTTTCCACCAAAGGAAAGGGTGGAGGTTTTTGGTTTCGTCTTTGCTCACAGGCGGAGAGTGCTTTCGAGTGTTTTCCTTATAAAACGCCGTTTTTACCGTTTCTTCTTCTTCTTAAATATAAACAACGATAGTATTCAGGAAGAAAACCAAACATTCCATATATTTTTATCCTAACTCCTAACACAATTTAAAAACTGGTATAAAGTCCACACTTTTGTACACGGTTGTACACGTTCTCATTAATGTGGCTTCACTCCACATCAGCCACGCCGCTTTGCTAGTTAAAACACCAGTGTCTCCACATAAGGACGCTGTCATAGCCTGTCAACCACATTGATTAGCTGCGTATATACGGATGTGAATCGCATCATTGGCTGGAGCAGCCAGTCACCAGTCACTTACTGACTCTCACTGCAAAACAGAATCAATTGTTAACGTATTTATTTTAATTTCAATTCAGCTTAGATTTTTTTTTTTTGTGTGTGTGCAACACAGATTTTCTGTGCGCAGAGACCTTGCCAGCAGTGCACAATTGCGCACGTGCGCAGCTTAGAGGCAACATGGCTCCCTACGTATTGGAGTCCAAGTGACGGTGGTTCTGGATACTTACTGTGAGATCAGCTGCACTGGAGTAGTTAAAAGTACATGTGTATGTAGGTTTGGGCTCAATCCTTGTTGTCTGGGACATCAAACAGACATAAAACAGTGCTCAGTGACACTAATATCTTTGCATTGCTTATTATCTAATGCAAAAACAACTCAATGCACAAAAGCTGTTAGGATTTACCAAGTAGGGCCTTGGGTTGGGGGTGTGTCACCAGGGTGCAGGAGAGGCATTCACCCCCGTACCCCCCGTCCCCCGTCCCCTTCTGGCCACCTGTGCCTCAATTTTATTCCACAACTTAGACATCCACATTACTGACACTCTCATAACACATACATACAGGGCCTTGAGGGTGGGCACGTTAACGGTGTTCAGTGGACGGTCTGTGTATTCAACTCCACCTCTGGCGCCGGTGCCCACCCCTCAATTTTAAATCCATGTAGACATTAAGGGTTCTCGGGAGGGGCCGTGCTAACACCTGCTGCTCTCTGGCAGCAGCACCATGCTCTCCCGTGTTTTAAATGCACCTTAGAATAACACGCAGCAACACTACACATGAGCAGGAGGAGGGAGGGTTTGGGGTCTTCACACACCCTCATTCTCTGCTAGCCATCGGGGCGGGGGGGCTGGGAGGAG